CCCCGCCCCCCCCCCCGTAACTATGCCTCCTCCAGCTAACAGATAATGAAGCCTGATGAGAACAATTTCAAAGGATTACAGCTTCCCTGTGTGGTTCACATGAATAAATGCAGAATTTTAAGAGGTGCTATGGTGCTAGAGATCAAACAAGCTCATTTAATTTAATGAAATTGAGAGTGTTTTTGTTGTGGTCTGGAATTTAATTTAGACACTGTGGTTCACATTCACCCGAGTGATCAGCTTTGAAGAAATAATCTCAACAGCCAATGTTGAAACGTGTGCCGATGGTTTGAATGCATATGAAAGCATGGGTCAAACATGGCTTTAAAAACATATGACATAGTGTTTACTCCTTAGAACCAACAACAACTCCAGGAATATTGCTGTAATCCTTTCACGGCAAAGATCCCAGGAAGGGAAGAGGTTATTTTCATATTGCAAATTTCACAGACGCCTACAGCTGAAACAGCCTCCCACTGTTTGGAAATGATATTATAGCTCTGCCTCTTTACAAGGTCCATTGTCTAGCACAAACACTGGGTATGTGAGGGGAGATGCCCACACGCAGTGGAAAGTATGTCACTTGAGTTTCATGCGGCAGGGAGTTCCCGTGGTTAACACACTGCACTCGTTGTTACCTGCCCCCGAGGGCGAACTGTGCACAGAGGTCAAGATGCCCTTGTGTTGACTCCATCCAAGTATTTTTCTAGGCAGGATTATGGGAGTAGCTTGGCATGGGCAAGGCTGCAAGGGCATTAGAGAGGCATGGAAAAACTGGGCTAGGGTGGAAGCCAAGTGACACACTCCTTTGCCCAACAGGTGATCATGCTCAACAAACGTCCTTTGAAAGAAGAAACTGGGAGAAAGGGTTGGCCTTCTTCCATCCCCTACCTTCCAAAAAGTTGTTGAGCATCTTCACATAATTGTCCCAAGACTCAGTATCGGTTAAGTTGTAGGTGATGTCCAGCGCTTCTGTCTTGGGCCGAATCATCATGCCTGGAGTTAACGCAAAAGAAAAAATGTTAACGGCGACAGAGCAGCGAACGCAAACTGGTCTGCGCATCGCCGTCCACATCAGTTCAGTCTTCCTGCCTGCCTTAGCTGACGCTCCCTCCCCTAGCACTGTCCCCTTCCACCCCATAACTCTATTTCTCACACACACATCCAAAGGGGCCAAGTGGTGCCCATTTGGCCCCCTAATTTCTGTGGGGCAGCCCCGGGGAGTGGGTGGCTCAGGGCTGCACGGAGCCCATCGATTCTGGTCTGCGGCTTAACGCAGTTTGGGGACAAGAGAAAGCAAGGTAGACAATATCCCCAACTCTCCCCACCACCCCATTCACCTGCTCCAGAATCAGAATTAGATCACCATTCAGGGGTTTGAAGGATGCATCTTCCCCAACTCGGTGCCCCCTCAAAGGGTTCCTTCAACATCTCCCAGAAGGTCAAAGCTGGCACGAGTGCTGCCCACGTGGAGGTCAGAGCACCTTCCTCAACCATAACCCATAAGCCCCAGCCAGCTTATGTCCAGGGCTTAGCACAGCCTTTGACTTGAGGGCCACTCCAGAGGACCCAGCGGCACAGCCAATCAATGCAAATTCGGGGAGTGGCAGTGCCAAACATCTGGCCAAGTGTTTCACAACCACCTGCTGAAGCATTGCTGTACAGAAGGGAGTTTATGGAAAACGGGGCATTTCTCCTGCACAGGCCGGGGAATGAAGGAAACTGCGGCGCGGCCTTACCTGGGACAGAGAGGCGGTCTTGATACTTGGGGATGAACGGATCCACGGTTTGCAGCAGTACCCACATGGTGAGCGTGAAAAGAGCCGTCAGAAAGCCGTAGAAGACCAAGTAGAAGAGCAGGATAAGAGCTGCGGAGTTGCGGGGGACAGGAGGCCAGATTAGTGAAGCATTTAAGAAGCACGATTCTCCATATTATTTTTATTTGCACAGACTTAAACATTTAAGTAACCAATGTCTACACCAGCGTTTTCAAACACAGCAACTTGAAGATGTGTGGACGTCAACTCCCAGAATCCCCCAGCCAGCATAAAAACACTGATCTATACCAGCATCAGCTCTCCCCTATCAAATCCGCCCACTTGGATTCCTTCTTCTATCAGCTCTGGGTTCATATCCACAGATGAGACCCCCTCCAAGAAAGCCCAACCTTTGGTCTCCTGCTGGCAGAGAGCCTCCCCCCACCGGGTTCCTTCATCCTCCTCTACCTGCCCGCCTCTGCTCCAACGCACCCTCGGGCACGCCTTGCTCAACCTCAAGGCGCCATGCCAATTTAATTAGATGATTGGAAACAAGGAAACATGAGCGCGCCCAACGCACCGCATCTAGCTAACCCCGGGTCCTTGGCAGATGGGAAGAGCTCCCATCTAGAGCAGCATCTCCTTCAGGGGCAGGAAATTAAACAGAGCAAGCTGAACAGCCACCCACAAATCTTATTTGAGGCATCTCTGCGGTGCGGGTCTGATTGGCACTGCAGGGAGAAGGAAGGAAGGAAGGAAGGAAGGAAGGAAGGAAGGAAGGAAGGAAGGAAGGGACACATTTCTCAGGTTCTCCAGCAACATCCCACATCTAGGCAGTCTTCCTGAATCTCCTGCTCCCCAGATGTGTCAGGTCTGCATGTCCCCAAATTCCCCAGTTGTCACAGCTGTTGGGAATTCTGGATGTTGCACCCTCAATACGCCTCAAAAGCACCAAGGCAGGGCCCACGGTCCTTGAGAGATCATCAGAATTTGGAGCTGGGCAAAGGCAGAATCGAGCCCAGCTGATAGTGAAGGAGATCATTCAATCCATGACTGGTGAATAAGCCTATCAGTTACATTGGATTGTAACACATAAATGACATGAAAGCAAACGCAGCTTTTCTCTCAGCTCTATTCACTTCCCTTTTGGATACGGTCATTGCAGGACATCCCCCAGTCTAGAAGAGCGCGTCCCTCTGCTTTTGAGAAATAAAGATGTCCCACGTCAAGTTGCCGTGGAAGAGTTGGAGAAGCTCTCCCGCACAAAGAGTGAACTCTTGAACGTCCATTAATCTTAAATTCTAGGCACAGCTTCCTCCCACGTTGCAAAGGGATATATTCATCCACCGTAAGAGTATCCATAATATCGTCCCAAAGTCCTTATCCTTGCACGTTGTCCAAGGAGTAAGCGTCAATGCACTACTTCTTTCTCCTACCCACCCAGGATGCGGTTTCCCACAAGCGATTTCACTTGAGATCCAACACATCTGGAGGGCACCAGGCTGGGCAACAGCTGGCTTGCAGAGCACAAATATGTTCTCCCTCATACACGCCTAAGCAAAGGGCAGAACAGGTGTTTACTACAGGTTTCTCTGGCACCAGGCCTGCTTCTAGTATTAGCTGCTAAGATCAAAAAGAAGTATAAATATTTCTTTCCAAGAGTTTTGATTTTGCTTGATTTGTTTATTAGCACCTCTGGCACTGAGATTCAGATACTGTCCCTTCTTAATGCAGCTCAGGTTTTCTTCCACAAAATAATTTCTTCTTGTGCTGACCCAACAGAATAAAAGGAATTTAGCAAAGCTACACCCAGTACATTTATTTAAATTTTAATCAAACAGTGATGTGCAGAAAATGAATCATGAAAAAAAAAATCAATCAGTTGAAAGCCCTTGTAAAATGTAGGGTGAGTTAGGGCAGAATTTTAAAACCACTCAATTAATCAGCACCATAAATCTTCATCGTAAAAGATTCAAAATGGAGAACAAAGAAAAATACTATGAAAACAATGTCAAGTCTTGGAAAATTTCTTTCCATCGTGGCATTTAACAGATTGTTTTATGAGCTCTTTTTAAAAATATACCTCTTAAATTCCCTGAAACCCACAATCTGATTTAGGAGTGGGGCGTCTTCAATTTTAAATCTTAGGCTAGAGCTAGTCTCTACAATTACTAAGGGTTAACACAAGCTTTTCCCTGCCCACGTCACTTGTAAAAGGAAAACAAAATGGAATTGGCTAACAGAGAAATGACTCTGAATTCATGTCAGCAAATCTTTCTGTTTAATACAGTCCCTGAACTAGGGGTTATTCCCATTTTGCAGAAGAGAAGACTGAGGCCAAGAGGAAGCAACTAGACACAAACTCCACCCTCAGTAAGAATCTGTGGCTACAGAGATACCTAAGCCAGGTCTTAAAGGTTCAAGCTGCAAAACCAGAATTTAATATAGGACAGACAACTACAAAACCATCCATTAAGAGTTTTGATACGTGTTACAAAAACAATGATACACTGATGATATATTTGAATTGCACAATGCCTAACCATAATCCAAACTAATCGGCCAGCAAGTCAGAACAAAGAGTAAACCTGGGATAATCTCTGTCTCTTCCTGTGAACTCTAACCTCTCGGGGTTAAATAATACCCAATTCCTTGCAGATGGCTGCAGCTGACCCGTCTTTCGGCCGAGATGTAAACTCCAGGAAATCTTGTTCGCTTTTCAAGAGAGCACAAATGAGCTGGACACCAAGGCCCCAAACCCACCTGGAAGTGCACCCACAGAACACATTCCCACATGCATCGTAAGCCCATAAGCCTTGGCCTTTCAAGGCCGCGTGGCTGAGCCAAATTGGGAGGCAAACGCTGCTCTGTCCTTCGCAAGCCCCCCTGTTCCTCTCCCTCCATCCCCCGGATACGCACCCGAACACCAGCAGGGTGGGCAGCCCCCGTGATGTGATGCGATGCAACACTCAGCACAGCACAGCATAGCTCTGGAACTGCATCTCCGTGGGCCCTCTGAGAAGCCGGGCACTTGTACATCCACCCCTTGGAGAAACCGGGTTTGGCTCTCCAAGCCCCGCTGGCATCCTGGCGCCCTTACGTTTAACTTCCTTTGCCGCCCAGAGTCCCTCGTTGAGAGGGGCGGCTATACAAGTAGACTAAACAATAAATAAATAATGGTTCCCCTCCATCCAAAGTTCTCCAGTTCCAGGCCAGGCCTTCTCCTTCTCCAAGCAGGTCTCTCTGCCAGCTGCAGAAAAGCGGGCCAAGCCTGCGCCAGCTCCCCCCCTTCCAGTGTGCACGATCTCCCCGTCTTTCTCTGCAGAACCAAAGGAAACAGAATTGCCCCCCCACCTCGCCAAGTGGAGAATGAACCTGGTCTCTTCCGCTCCCCATCCCTGTTCTTCCCCCCCACCCTGCGCCATTTCCATCCATCCAGAGACTGCAATGGCTGGGGGGTGTAGAAGCTCTCTGCCGGGAAGAATCCTTAGCCAATCTCGCCCCCTTACACAGAACATCCAGAAGGGCATAATCATGTAAAATCAGAGTTCCCAGAAGAGGCAGAAGCCAGCTTGGGACAACCTTTGGGTGCCGTGCCCAGCTCAAGAAGAGCCACCTTCTGGCTCAGCACAATGAGCTGGTACTATTTATTGCAATATTTGTAAACTGCCCATTGCAAGGCGGCAAGAATAAAAACCACGCCAAGCAACAGATGTTACACACGCGAGGGCCCTGCCCCGGAGTCACCCAGGCCAAGCAGAACAAGGTGGTTTTAACACCAGCTGCGTTCCCACCACCAAAGTCCCTAGTTCAGTCTTGCTTGCTGGGTTGAGAAACTCAGACCTTCTGTTTAACTGGCTGCAAAGCAAACCCTAAACCAGGGAGATTTTGTGGGGGGGGGGATAGAGAGAGTAGGGGGATTAAGAGAAAAGCACACCTTGTTTTCAAGGGAACTGGAAGAGGGACAGCTCAGCTTCAAAATCAACATCCCCCCCCCCCAGGGTTGAAAAGTCTAAGAACAATGCAGCACTTTTTTTAATAAGCACTTGATGGGGAGGACTGCGAGAGCATTTGCAAAGGTGGCTGCATCAGGTTGGAAGGGGTCAAATTAGTGGGGAGGGAAGGAGAAAGGAGATCGGACTGGATACTCAGGAGAGAAATAAAGAAATGCAGAGAAGCAGCTAACACAGCAGCTTTTTTCAGAGGCCAATCTGTCAGAAGACAAGCTTCACGCCACATTCAGGAGAGCTGTCCCCTACCTAGAAGCCCTCCCCCCCAATCCCCCCCCCACATTTCTTTCAATCTCACCCATCCCCTTTTACAAACCCAGCTGGAATTGTTGCTGCCAATTCATCCCACCCCGTTCCCAATTTATTGCACGGTAACCCTCAGCTCGCAAAGATCAGGGGCCTGGTAGCGTCTTTCCCAAGGAAGAGATGTTATTAAAAGGCAGAAGCTTCCAGATTCTGATTTTTTTTTTTTTTTTTGCTAACATGGCTCCCTTCCTAGAAGGGTCCTGGGGAGAAAGGAGACTGTCAAAATGAAACATGGAAGATGGCAAAGGATTTGCAGGTCTTCCCCTTAGAGAAGCCCCAGGATGAGCAAGGAGGAGGAAGATGCATATAGTAGCAGCCTGCACCATACAGATATCTCAGGAACTGGAGAGGTGGGGGCACTGATTAAAATAGAGATGGAAACGCAAATGCCGGTGCCAATTCTGGCTCCAAATGCAGGGGTCTGAGATGTATGCAGGGGTCTGAGATGTTCAAAAACGTCTAAATTCAG